ATTTTTGGTATAGTAGTTGTGACTTATTCACACTATATACATTTGGCTTCCGCAACAAGCTGAAGGTGCTAAAAGTGGACGAGGTAAACCTTGAATCACATTGAGAAAAGTTTTCTTGACAGAGATTATACAGTCTCTCAAAATCAATATACCGTATAGCTAAACAGTGAACGAAATGGAAGCAATGATACAATAGGATTAAGGCTTTATTATTGTTATTACACTTACACATTAGATCCAGTATTTCTTCAGATTAATTGTCTACTAGAATAAGTGTGAGATTTAGGAAACATCTAGTTTTGGAAAACAACTAAGTTGTAAATTTATTTAGTAGTTGAATGAAAATGGATATAAATGAGGATTCATATAACTGCTCCAACTAGTGTCGGATTGATGCTTAGTTGGTCGTTGATGGAATGAAGCAATTCTAATTTGACAATAGCATACAGAAATTACCCAATTGTGTCCTGTCGAGGAGAAAGGGGAATGACACCAGCACGGCTAGTGAGTCCAACGGTGGGTTTGAGGCCTACAACAGCATTGTATTCAGCAGGACAGATAATTGAGCCGTCAGTCTCAGTTCCTAGTGACACAGCCACCATGTTAGCAGCTACGGATATTGCAGATCCACTGCTTGAACCACATGGACTTCCTCCTTGCACATATGGGTTCTGCATTTTCCACAAGGACCACAACAGTAAAATTTCTGAGAGTATTTCTTCAAACAAACAATAAAATTTTGTAGGAAGTACGACTAACATTTAGCCAACCCCAACCTACTTTGGAATTGAAGGTAATTGAATGATTGATCTGTCATAACAGACATTCTTCAAGCCATAGGTTGAGCCAATAAATTTTAATCAAGGAGCTTTTACAAACTAATCGACAAGTATTAACAAACTAGGTATTACCTCTTTATTTTCCTTGATTGGAACCTACCTGAAACTTTCAAAAGTAGTCCTCCTTTTGAAAGAAGAGAGAAAGAAAGTAATACTATTTCTACTCTCCAATTTATGTGGCAGTGTTTATAAGTCAAGCTATAAGACATTTGTGTGTAGAGCTGTCAATATGGGCGGGGTCGGGCTAGCCCAGCTCAACCCACGTGGGCTTTAGCAATTGGCGGGCTGGGTTAAGCTAGCCCACCACTTTGATGGGCCTTATAATGGTTAGCCCACCCCAATCCTATGTGGGTTGCGGGACCCACGGCCAGGCCGTCATTTTTTTAAATATAATTTACATTTTTTCTTTAAGTTCTAACCTAAAAAGATAAATATTTAAAAGTTAAAAAAATCTTATTGGAAAAATTTCACAAAACTTAATAACTTTTTATATTGTTTCAATTTATGATAAACACTACAAAAAGTAAAAGACAAGACTAATATTTCGTTCACTAAAAGTCAAAACTCAAAACAAACTATTCAAGAGAACATCCATTATGCTTACGGGATATCCAACACATCATCTTCATCAAACATATTTGAATCCGCATGTGAGAAGGTTGTCTTAATATCTTCACTTTCATCTACATCTACCATTCATATGCAATATTAATTAGTTAAATATTAAAAATAATTAAATTTTTAAAACTAATTAACGTTTTAAGACTTTGATCTTTTAATATGATGAGTTTAATAAACTTTAAGCTTGGATACTCTTCTTGATATTTTTTGTGTCGTATAATTTTTTATTTTATATATTTCAAATATATATTTTTATTAGGCTCAAGGGCCGGCCCAACCCAGCCACAGTCAAGCCTCACGGGCCACGGGCTTACTTGGGCGGGGCTTAAAAGCCTCGTTTTTAAATGGGCTTCAAAAATTATAGCCCAACCCTGTTAAATAACGGGCTGTGCTGGGCTGGGTTGGCCCAATAGGCCAAGCCCATATTGACGACTCTATTTGTGTGTAAAATAAAATATTATTTCTAAATAAGAGAACAGACTAAAAAGGAAAGTAGGCGAGCATATGACAATATGTGGAAGGAAAAGCAAGTATGCTGTGAGAACTCACCACACCTTGGCCACTTCTAGCAGACCATCCATCAGGAATACTGAAAGATCGAAAATGGTACCACTCACTCATACTAGCCTTTCCCAAAATCAAAGCACCATCATTCTTCAGCCTCTCCACAACTGTAGCATCTCTACGCACCTCTGAACCGAGCAACGCGTAAGACCCTGCAGTAGTATTTAGCTTATCCTTTGTTGCTATGCTATCTTTGACCAGAACAGGAATACCGTGTAAACTGCTCAGTTTCTTCTTAATTATCTCCCTTTGTTTATCAGCTTCATCGGCTTGTTTTCGCACGTCCGGATTCACTTCGATAACTCCACGAAGAACGGGATTAAGGGTTTCAATTTTATGCAAGTAGAAGTCAACGAGTTGTCTTGATGTGAGCTTGTTTTGGGCAAAGGCCAATTGTATGTCTTTGATTGTAACTTCTTCAATATTGAAATGGTACTCCTGCTCGCAATTTCCATTTTTGTTATTGAAACTTATAAAGCAAAGCAGCAATATTAGCAATGAGGAAAAGAGAAGAGAAAATTGACCCTTAATCGCCATTAATATTATGTGGAAGTGAAAGTATTCTTATGATTTACTGTGTATCTATAGGTATAGGTAACTGTACTACAGTCAAAGGGAGGAACAGACCGGCTTTTCCAAGTAGCAATGGCCAAAGGAAAAAAGCTGCTAATGTAGACATGAAATTGCTAACCGAGACCTAAATCCTAAACTAAAGATACTTGAACACTCTTCCAAATTTAGGAGTCTATTAGTACACTTGAGGCTACCCTACCAAAATTTTAAAATTTTAGGAGTTTATTAGAGTTCACTGGAGACTACCGTAAGCACGTTATTTTTGCCCTATACGAGAATTACTTCTAAAAAATTCAAAACTAAAATAATTTTCCTTGGTGTGCAGTTTTGTGATATTTTGTGATATTTTTGAATAATTATTTGTATTTGTCTATGTATGTTTATTTGTTAAATTAATAAAAATACAAAAATATGTCTCATTTTGCATGTAGGATTTAAT